CCCGCCCGGCCGGCCTGCGGTGCCCCCGGCCCAGCCGCCCACCCCCGGCCAGACTCGAGAGCCGGGGACGGGCCAGGTCCCGCACCCGGGAGCGCCTGCGAGCCGAAAGCGGGCCTGGGAGCCAGCCGACGCGCTCATTGTTTCCTCTTTACAAAGTCTTTACCTTGAAGGTTAAAAGATGTGAAGAAGAAAGGAGGGGACGTGGGGGAGAGGGAAGAAAATCTTCCAAGCTTCCATCCACCCCTCTTCTACCTTCTCGAGCTCTCCCTCCCCCCGTGTTGGTAAAATAACCACGCAACCCGGGGCTGAGGGGGCGGGGTGAGCCAGGCTGGAGTGTAAGAAAGCAGATGTCCCCGCTGGCAGCAGCCTCAGCCTCCGGGGAAAGCTGCACCGGGGGGGCCCTCCCGAGGACATTCACCTCCCACTTCTCAGGCATCCCGCTCACAACTGCCTCGCCTCGGCGGGGGTGGTTTTTCAGACTCAGCGTTTCGCGTGTGCAGCTATTTTACCTGGGAGCTGTTCTTACCCGGCCACGCTTAACAGATGCCAAAAGGCAGCCCCTGCTCGACCCAGTTGACAGGACAGAGGGAGAGCCCAGACGTATCCACTCTGCCTTTGCCCTCCTGCTCCAGCCAGCGCCACCTATGCTGAGCCCACAGGGGCCTGTTCTCCAGGCTGCCTCTCGCGTGGCCCAAGAGGGTTTCTGTCCTTCAGAAGTTGGAGCTTAGGGAGCCACTGGAACCCAGAAGATGATGGAGTTCCCCTCTCTTACTAGCTGGAGGTGGGGGAAGCGTGGGCTGGAGAAGAGGGATCAGTGGTACAGTTGGAGATACTTTCTGGGCTGCGGAGTTCCCTGCAAGCTAGTAGATGTCCACTGCGTGAGAGGGATCTCCCTTTCTAGAGGGAGAGAGAGACTCCCCTTTCACGAGATAGGTACAGTGGTATATTCTGGCTGGTATACGTTGGGAAGTTTTTATTTTTAATTGTGTGTGTGTGTGTGTGTGTGTGTGTGTGTGTGGTGAGAGGGAAGGCAGGGTGGGGGGAAGGGAGAAGACTTGGATAATTGGCTAGGCATTTTCTGTTATACGTGTGGAAGTTTTTATGTTTATTTGTGTGTGTGTGTGTGTGTGTGTGTGTGTGTGTGTGTAGTGAGAGGGAAGGCAGGGTGGGGGGAAGGGAAAAGCCTTGGATAATTGTCTAGGCATTTCCATTCAGCCCCAGTGGCAATGAAAGAAAGATGTACATGCCTCAAAACCCTTCACAGTGAATACCTAATAATTGCTATGTCACCTTGGTGAGGAAGATGTCAATGTGATGTGCTTGGCACTCTGAGAAGTCCAGGTTCCACTCTCATTCTTGCACAAGTTAAAGCTCTTCACTGGAGCATAGTGGCCTGCTCAAATTCCCCCATCTCCAAACCTTCCAGTTTAAAACACGGCTCCAAATTTGTGAGTTGCAAATAATTTTACTTCATAAAATGGAAGTCATGCCTCTACCAGTTTTAAAAACCAGACGAAAACAGAAACCCAAAAGACAAAAATCAGAGGGAAGAAAAATGAAAGGGGAATCTGATTTTAAGCAAATCTGCAGCCTTCTGAGTTTGGTATCCCCTCTCTCAAATGTCTTACAGTGGCCATCAGTCAGGCTGCTAACAATGAATAACAAATTTCTAACAAGAATGTGAACATTTCTAATCTAAATTAATAAATATGGATAGTCCTTACAGGGTTTTAGATTTGTTCCCATTAAAAACAAATGTTTATTTAATAAGTTTAGTTTAAAAATAATTTTGAAATTCCAAGTGATCTACTAATTGTAATAAATGCCATCGGATCTGGTCATTGATTACTGGAAAGAAAACATGAATTTTTATAATTCCCAAAAATGTGATTTCTTTTAAACTCAGGAACGAAAAATATACTGATTACCACAACATAAGTAATCTTTTTAATATTTAATTTGTTTTATCATGTAGCTATCTATATACATAGTAAAAACTAAAACCATACATATTATTGAAAAATAATCTAAAGTATTTAAGTTTAATTCTACCAGTGCTTTTTACCACTGGGCAACCAATGTCTTAGGTTTGGCATTTACTTAGATGTTCATGTTGTGCATTATTCTTGATTATAAGCTTATTAACAACATCACCTATGGTATAAATAATCTAAATTCTGAAATGAAAACAAGTCCCTATAACATCTGATATCACTAAATTCAATAGTTCTCACTAGAAATCCAAACAATAAGCTCAGATATTTGAAACAAACATAAATTATGATTATACAACTCTGTAAGTCACACACATAATTTTTAATTATGTTAATAACACTGTAAACATGAATACATTGAATTAGTTTTATAAAGAATGATCTCTTAAAAGATAAAAAGAAAGTTACAAAAATAAGTTTAAAAAAATTCAAATAGCTGTGACACTAGATTTTTCTATAAATGATCCTGAATTTAATTTATAATCAAGTATTTGTAGTACTACAAACCCAAAATCATCACATAGAACTTGATATGTCTATTTCCAAATGTGTCTTAAGTCTCCCCATTAAAGTGTGAATTAAGATGCCGGAGGAAGTCCCCCCTGGACGTGATGGATAGTGGGAAAGCTGTTTGACAGAATTCACATACTCGAGGTATATCCAGTTCTGAGTCTGTACCACTTAGTACCACTAAGTCACTGTCTTCATTAGGAAAGGGCTTCCAAATGGGCTGCAGGAAACAAAAACATCTTCTGTTACTTCTGTTTAAAATCAACTTGCATTAAATTTCAAATTCGAATTTTTGAATTAGTTATATATTATCATGTATATGAAATTCCCTATTATGAAACTAATTACTTTTCTATAAAGTCAGCGTGAAGACATGACTCAGTTCTTTTCATTAAAGATCACTTGGGACACACATTCCTGTATTTTATCTTTATGTATTTCAAAATATTGCAGCTTTAGCACCTGCAATTTTTAACACCCAATTATAACAATGGCAGTAATTTTAGAACAGTCAATATTTTAGACTTTTTAATAAAATTCCATTTTTTCTATGTTGTAATAGAAACCTTAAGTTATAGGGCATTTATTAATACATCGTATGCTTGACATGGCGTGTGCGTGTGTGTGTGCGCATACATCTTAAGAGCAATTTAAATTTCACAATAAATTATATAAGAATTAGTATTTTAATCTCTGAAAAGGTAGTTTAAAAAGACTAAACAAATTCCACTGGTCAGTTTTTCTTCTTTCAGTTTTGGCAAACATAAATACTTAAGACAATCATTCAACAAAATCTAATGTCAGATGTATTCTTTGACTTCTCACTTTGTTTCTGTTATTTAAGATATAGTTTGGCCTTCTTAATCCTCTCTTGTGGCTGAATAAAGTGATACCTGTCAATAGCTGCCCAATGAAAGAGTTATGGAAAATCATAATCTAATAGAACCAGCTCTATAACTACCACACAAATACCTGTACATAACTGTACTTATTCCCCCCATCACTTTTTTATTTTTAACTTCTAGAAGGTCATGAAATAACATTTAGTTTAATAGCAGGTGTTTAATAAATTTTGTTGACTAGAAAATATCTTATTTTCCTCAACTGTGGAAACTAAATTATTTTAAATTTTTTCTCTTATCTTGACACAGGTAAATTACCTTGACATAGCTAATTTCTGATACTTTAACGAGAGTCACCTCAAAAGTCAACTTAAAGAGGCCTCTTTATGCTCTTTTTATTAATACACTTTTAAAGTAACACAGCCTAATTCAGGACCAGGCAGTGTTATTTTTCATTCTCTAACTTCCTTCATTCTAGTTAACCCATAATTTACATTAACAGTATATAGCTAATTGAAGCATTTGAGTTTCACGACATCACTGTCTTCTTATAAACATTTTACTGGACAGCTGTGTACAGTTAGTGTAAATATATAAAGTCTTTCTAGGCACTGAGATACATTCGAGCATCAGTACAGAGGCTTACAATAACACGGATTCAATTTCAGGAGAAGTGGCAACTGATCACAAAGACTGCACTATTGAAAACAAATGTAAGATTTGAGATGAAATAATTTTCTTTAGGAAAAATTTTTTAGTGATAGTTAATCAGATTCAAATACTGCTATTTGCAATTTAAATAAAAAAGATACAAATTATTTTAATGGGAAATTAAAATGGCTATAAATAAAAGATTATTACTCTAAAGATAAATTTTAGTAAGATCTATGAAACAATAAGAACAACTTTGCTTCTAAATTTGGCAAGTCAACCTTCCGCTGCCAATTTACCTTCAAGGTCCCTATTTATCTCCCTATCTTAGAGGTTATTAGTTCAGATTTGATTACTTTATAGAGTTTAGTTGGGACTCCAATCACTGACTTAGCAAAAGTAGAAAGAAAAGAAAATAGAACAAAAATAAGCTTATATATTTTAGCTTTTGTTATTATAGCTGAATATATAATGCAGGTATCTAATAATAACTATTGATATAAAGTAAAAATTTCAAGTATGAAGCAAATATTTCACTTTTCTTTGTTACTATCTATGAATAACTCAAGAATTTTGTACTCAATCATACTAGCTTTGTTAGTATAAATAAAATAGTGAAAATGTTTTTAAAAACCTATTTAAAAAAATTTCTTTCAATCCAAAACTGTAACATGGACTTCAAAACAAACTAATTTCTTTGCTTTTCCTGCCGAAATATCAATTATCTAACCTTATGCCCCATGTCTTGTGACAGCTCAACACCAATTCTCCTGAATTTTTAAAGCTGAATACTTTTCCATCAAGTTGTAATCACATACCAGCTGTTTCCCTCGCTGTAGCATAGAAAGCAAATGTACAATGCAGGGTGCCATCTACTGAAACATGAATGCACAGACTAACTAGTAAAAGAACAAGCAAGAGATATAATGGAGAAAAAGTAACGAGCATTAGAACTGATGCACTTCACAGCTCTGCAGGAATTCTACTTGCAATAAATGAAATTGTTTAATTTGTTTCATTTAGCAGTAACTATAACTGAGACTATGATGTGAAATAAGGTACAATATATAACATAAGTGAGTTTATAATTAAAGCTTATTGTCAGCCATGCCTAGTTTTTCCCATTTGCTAAAGAATACCACAGCTTGACTACTGCCTCATTTGCATACTGATTTAAGCCTATAACCTGTAAGTCCACTTAAACCAAAGTGTGTCAAGTTTTTTTTTGTAAATTAAATATTTCAAGGCAAAGAGAAACCAAACAAATGCTTGCAAGTTATACATTTACATCAATCTATATTTTCATGAGCTTCCATTTATTATAACAATTATATATTTTTCATTTGTATCAAGAGTTAAACAAAAACAAATTTAACTGAAAGAATCATTTTGTTTTCGTACCTGAACCTAAAAGGGAGAAGGAGAGTGATAGGGGAGGTTATAAATAGTCTGGAAGTTTTAGTAATATTAAATAAAATGCTTGATTGAACACATCCATATACAGAGACTATTTAAAAAATATATTAGGTTGCAAGTGCAATGCCAGATTAGTAACCAAAAGCAAACTGAAATTCTACAGATCTATGTGCTGTGTAACTGACAATGTAACAGAAGCATTAGTTCAAAGACAGCTCACTTATTTGAACAAATAAAAATATACAATGTATTTATTTATGAAAAATTGTGCATTCTTATAAAATCAATATGACATATGCACATTTTTAAGTTAGAAAAATACCATTTGTTTCACAGTATGAGATTTAACGTAGAATCCTTGCATAATACCGATGCTGAGTAAACAAATGATACCGGGCTAAACATGAATAAGACTTACAAATATTTTTAAATAAGCCATAAATTTTAGGGTATCATGGCACTTTACAATATTTATCTTTTATAATTTCATGTCATTTATTACAGGACTTGCATGTATTATTGATAGCCTTAATTTTGGCAAGTCATTATTTTAAAAAGCATGTTTAATACCCTAAAAGAGATGCATATCGTACATGTGTGGCAAAGATGTGTGTTCACACATAATAATATATTTGTTAATGAAAACAGTTACCTGCTGTGGTCCTCGGACAGCTTTTCCTGGGGAATCAAGTGAGGTAAAAGGTGAATCAGATGGGTCCTGAAGTGGAAATTTATTTACATACAGCGCATTATGGTCTCCAGGTGGCAAACACGCAGCTCTTTCCAGAGTTGTCCTGATACAAGTGTTTACAAGATGTGAGGGTTTTGTTGTGTCAGTTGTTTTAAGGTTTTGTATAGCTGAAGCTATGGGGTCAATTCCCTGAATTTCAAATAAAGTTTCTTCTGCATTAACAAAGTTTCCTGTGTTGTCTCTGAGCTCCATATTAAATTTGTCCTGGCTCAGTGCCTCAGATGTGGCAGGACCAAGGATGTTGGGTCTCTCTGGAGTACTATGTAAGAAAGTAGAGTCACTGTCCATAGGTGGAAACTTGACATTGAATTTAGAAAGTGATTCAAAAGAAGTGTCTTCCTCATCTCGGCCAAGTCCTCTTGGTGTGACAGATGTGATGCATGATGCACTTTTATTAGTATCTTTTGCTTGAGGCTTAAACAGTGCTTGTTTATCTGTTTTGTCCGTACACTGTATAGGCACAGAGCATTGTGTTTCTGCAGGGGCTAGAACACAAATGGGAAATCATTACATTAGAATCATTAAAAAGAATCTGTTCACTTAACTCTGGACAGATGAGTACTGTTTTGTTTTGTTTTGTTTTCCCTATTGTTTCTTAGAGTAACTGAAGAAATGTGATTTTTAAATTTGCTACTATCTTATATGGGAATATTAGCAGTCTTCAGCAGGTGACTTGGAACACAGATTATTTGTCTTAGTTTAACTACTCTGTCTTTTCCTGGGTCTTCTGCCGTAAGCTTTCCATATTGTTCAGTTAAGCTCCGCACTTAAAAAAAATTTTGCTTGTAGTGTGTACATTTAAACATTATGTCAGTAACGGAAGCTGCAACTATGAGTTTGCTTAGACAATTAAGTTGTTAAAGGAAAAATCCTTACTGAGTATGTATATAAATTAAGCCATTATTATTTACTACATAAATTAGGTCATTATTCCCTCCAACATTCACTGTAAAACTAAGTATACCATCAATCAGTTTAGCCACTATCTACTCTCAATAATCTATTTCAGGAGCTGTGGTAGAAGCTGGGCAGAAGGAAGACAATGGAGGAAAATGAAGGATGACATTTTCGGAGGCATGTTAAGAAAATTGCATGTGGATGTATAATTTTTCAATTAAATATATATCTATATACACACACTTATATAATTGTATACATATAAATTTTGTTACACATATGTATTTATGTGTATGTATGCATACATATGTATATATATGTGTGTATATATATAATGTGTATATATAATACATATAATATAATAAATATATGTAATATATATAATAAATGTGTGTGTATATATAATACATACAATATAATAAATATATGTAATATATATAATAAATGTGTGTGTATATATATAATGTGTATATATAATACATATAATATAATAAATATATGTAATATATATAATAAATGTGTGTGTGTGTGTGTGTATAAAGCTTCTGTAGATAACAGGTAGATACCAAGCAGATGACAGAGCCTCTGTAGCTTATTTACTAGAAGGCACTTATGCAATCAATTCAGCTCTCTAGGACATAGACAAACCCTAGAAAGTAATAAGCAGAGCTTCTAAGGAGTCAGAATTAGAGCTACAACATCCATAGATACATGAACTTTGCTTCTACCCTCACTTTAGATTTATTCTAACAAGATTGCTATGTTTCCTTAGCTCATACCTGTTTTGAAACAGCAAATTAAAAGGCAGTATGATTGTTAAAGGCAGACATAGATAGCAACAAGAGTTGAAAGCATGGGAGGAGATAGGAAAAATAAAAAAGCAGATACAGGGATCAGCAGGCAGCATGGTGGTTAAGGGTGCTGGACTCCCATGTGGCCAACTGAGGTTCGAGTCCTGACCTGGTGGCTTGCTTTCTCACTTTCCATTTCTCTCTCTCTCTCTGGTCAAATTAAAAAACAATAATAACAAATAAAATGAAATAAATAATTCTTTAAAAAAAAGGCAGAAAGAACTTAGAAAACACTATAGTCTGCTGTGGAGTTAAAAAGGAGTGTATTTCTCAACACACACACACAGAAACACAATGATTAATGCATTCTCCATATTGATAATCCTGAAACATTAGAAAAAGTAAATGCTTCACAATGTCACTTCAAGAAAAGAGTGAGACTGCTAATGTATGTAATTCTACTCAGTGGATAAAAACCATAAAATATGTCAAAATTAGCATTTAAGAACAATGGCCATCAGTGAGGTGGTACACTCACAGAGACTTTGCCAATGGTGTAGGTTTACAGACTGGGTACACAGAGCACCCTGAACAGTGTTCAGGTTAGCAAGCACTTAAGTTCCTTTATATTCCTTTGGTCTTTGTAGACTTGTGATGCCTCTGTATCCTTTACGACAGTACATTACAACACAGATATCTTCGCCTTGAGTTATGATGTGTAATTCAATGCAACTACCTTTGGTTATGTACCTACTGCCCCTCTTTAGTTCATACTATCCTCTGACCACCTGATTACAATGGCCTTCGGACTGCTTCCTTGCATCTAAATTTATCTCATATCCAATCCATCACTACCTATATATAGTTTCCCCTCCATCCCTCCTCCTCAGAATACTTTTTGTAAAGTATTAATGTGGTTATGTTACCTTCCTAATAAAATCTTTTCATGGCTCTCCAAGGCCCTTAGCCTTCAGAAAAGGCATATAAAACTGTTCATAATTGGTCCTCATCACCTCAGTTATAATGAACTCTGTACAGTTCTCCACAATAGCCCAACTCTTGTCTCTAGACCTTTGCAAATGTGGTGCACACAGTCTAAACTGTCCCCTCCCATGGCTCTGCCTAACTCTTCTTTATATAAATATATATTCTGCTTATTTGTTTAATTGCCAGAGGGTGTGTGTACTTTTCAGAGAGCGAGAGAGAGAACATACACAAGTGCACTCTCCAGTGGGATGCAGGCACACAGCAGTCCCTTCTCCTCCACTTCTCCATCCTGTCAGGATTTCATGCACAAAGCCATATTCATATACAGGTATGTTTTTCAAGTCACTGGGGCTGGGATTTGAACCACGGTTGGTCATATGGGATTCAGTTCCCAATGCACTGCATTTAACAACTGCACTATGGGACCTGCCCACTTTGCCTAACTCTTATTTGTCCTTTACATCTTTGGTTAGATACTAGCTTCTCTAGATTGATCTCCCAAGACTCTTAGATGTCTTGAAGACAAATATTCTGTGTTATAATTTCCAAACACATCTTTGTTTCTCCCATTAAATAAGGTTTCTTGAAGTCGTAAAGTATGCTTTATTTCCCACTTACCCCAATACCCTACCTAGTGGATTTTCTGTCTTGTAGAGACAAGCTATATTTACTACATATTCTGTCTATGGAATAGTAATCAAGACTAAACTCAATTGTTTCGCTGGATTTCTTTAACTTCTAAGGTTCAACAGTCCATTAACTCTCAAGGAATCTTTTTTTCTTTCCCCTGGCAGTAGCTGTAATAAGGCAGATATTGATATTTTCTCTTAGTACAGTTAGCTCGTATAAAACCTCAGCTACGGTAAAAGAATTTGAGTTAGTCTGCTCAAGCAGTGAGAGTTAATACTTATTTTTTTAAAAAACATTTAAACCTAAGATTCCCATGGCTACTCGATAACCAAGCTTAGAGAACTTAAAACTCGGGGGCAAGCAGGTGGTGTGGTGGTTAAAGTGCTGGACTCCCACATGGCTGACCATGGTTGAGTTCTGGACCTGGTGGCTTGCTTTCTCACTCTCTTTCTCTCTCTTTAACTTCTAAGGTTCAACAGTCCATTAACTCTCAAGGAATCTTTTTTTCTTTCCCCTGGCAGTAGCTGTAATAAGGCAGATATTGATATTTTCTCTTAGTACAGTTAGCTCGTATAAAACCTCAGCTACGGTAAAAGAATTTGAGTTAGTCTGCTCAAGCAGTGAGAGTTAATACTTATTTTTTTAAAAAACATTTAAACCTAAGATTCCCATGGCTACTCGATAACCAAGCTTAGAGAACTTAAAACTCGGGGGCAAGCAGGTGGTGTGGTGGTTAAAGTGCTGGACTCCCACATGGCTGACCATGGTTGAGTTCTGGACCTGGTGGCTTGCTTTCTCACTCTCTTTCTCTCTCTGTCTCTTTCTGGTTAAATAAAATAATAATCCTCACTGAAATAGAGTCCTCTTGGACTGAATAGTATTTTTTCATTTTTTGAAGCCATATTTGTTCAAACATACATGTTATCTTTATTTTTCCTTAAGGCTACTGGTACATGTAAATGAGTAGAAAAAGAAAGTAATAAAGAAATGTACAATTCTACTAACAACAACCTTTTCATGAATTATATCTGGCTATTTAAGAGTAAAAATCAAATTTTAATTAAAAAAATAGGGACAATCATGTTAAATATACTTTTTCTAGATAGGTTATTTCAATTATATCTGAGGGTCAGCTGGTGGTATGATGGTTAAGAGAGCTGAATGGCCAACTGTGCAGTTCACAGAGTATGCACTCAGTGGCTCAAAAAACATGCTGGGCACATGTGTATATGTGCTCAAAATTCCTGAAAGGAGGGAGAAATGGAGGAGAAAGAACTGTGGTGGGACCATCCCCCACAGGGGGATGCTTTCTCACTTTCTGCCCTCCTCACTGTCTTTGTTGAGTACATGTGCCCTATGGCAAATTTTTAAAAAAATTTACATTTTAAATAGTTTCACTATATTTCTATTCCAAGCATACATACTTGGAAATTCTGAATAGACATCTTTTTCCCAAATAGTGTTTTTTTTTTTCTTTTCCCTTTTGATCAACTACTCTCAGAGCATAATTGATATTGTGGTTCTTGTTTGGACCCAGCAACATTTTGCTATGGAGTCTGTAGTACGACAGTTCTAAAACATTTCAAGAATGATGTATTTATTATTTATGACACCGTTAATATAAAGCATAAAATAATGTTAGGAAGAGGTTTTAGTGGGAAAAAATTGAAGTTAAACACTCAGTGTTCTAGTTGACAGATACATACTCAGATTTAGACCTGTGCAATTTAAAAATGGTCACGGTATTAAGCCATTGATAATAGGGTAAGTTCTCTGTGTAACAAAGAATATATCACCATTACAATGTTTTGATAAAATGTTGATGTTCAATAAGCATGTTTATGAATTCTAGGTACTATATCTCTATAGTGAGCATATTTTAAATAACAATAATTTGTTTATTTTAGATATATCTAATATCTTCAGTTTATTCACAATAGGAATTTCTCATGAAAATGAGAAAAAGTAAGATGGAAAAATTAAGAGTTCTCTTTGAGAATGTCGGGGTAATGGAGGGAAAGAAACAAATTATGTCTATTTACAATGATTGTTTTATTTTTTCAGCATCACATTGTGCAACTTTTCTGAGTAGTGGTAGCAAAAAGTGAATTTATACTATAAAATTATTTAAAAATAGCCTAGATAGAAGAGCTAAAAGAAATGGGAGATGATCTTTAACTAAAGGGGTACTAGCACTGCCGCAACATCCATCAGAGTGCAAAGTGTAAATCCCAGCTCTTGGGAATTTTTGCAGAATATTGCAAATCACAAGTGCGAAGGAAACTTATTGTTATAAATGATCAGTTTACCTTCCTTTTGTTCATAATATGCTTATTGCCAGACTCAATCTCTAGTATTCTGCTTTTCATATTGAACTGCTGAAGGGAACATCAGGAAGCCATTTCGAGATTTTAGGAAACGGTAGAACATCTAAAAATCATTCTACAACACATGTGTAAAACAGGTGTTCCTTTTAACATGTATTTTATACTAAATTTTTATTTTGTGCTTCCAGTAGTACTGGCATTTAGGAAATGTGAGGGCAACATTTTTATTCTTGAAGCAAATTATGAGACTCTATTCATGGAGTTTAATGAACTTTCGGGGAGAAGTTAAAAATCAGGCTGATGTTAATAATCTTACTTTTATATGGTAGTGTGGCCTCAAGGTCACTTACTAAAATGCAAGCTAATGTTTATTAAGACCTCGAAATAGCAACTAGAGGCTTTGAGAGATATACTGCATATTTATTTTATATTTTTTTCAAGGTGGGACTTCTCATTAAGATGATTAGTAATTATGTCATTCATTTTGATATATACAGTGCTATCTACAATGAAGACAGAGAGGAAGTGCCATCACATAATACAATTGATTACAAAACCTAAATTGCACTCACTCATTCAAATAAAGGTGGGTGAGGGAGAAGTTGTAGATCAGCATTTAAACATTTAAAAATATTTTCTCATTAAAAAAACGAGTTTCGGCGAATGAAATTAATATTACTGTAAGTTAAATCAAACCTTACCAGTTACACTGTTTGGTATATTAAGTTTGCTTAAATGGTCTTTTTGTGCTTTTGCTAGCATGCATATTCTATGAAATTCTTCTTTTAGATCCCAGAAAATCTTCTCTATATTACCCCTAGAAATAAATCAATATATTAATATATAAGATTATGACTTTAAATGTTTTAAATAATAATTAAACTTATATTAGCACTATTTTATGTACCACAAAATAATGTTTACAAAGTTAAAAGTTAAAAAAAAATTATTTAAAATTCCTAGGGAATATCTTCAAAACAATTCTAATGTTTGAAGAGCCAGCCACAAGGAAGTCATAAGTTAAAAGACCTAATACATAAATGTAGTACAGACTAGTATTATCTACTTATATTATCATGCTGATGCTGGCTGAGCTTTTCTCCATTTGAAATTTCAGTGCATTAATTTCTGTTCTCTGTAAACATCTTAAATAGAACAAAATATTCATCATTTCAGTAAGGATCCATTCATAGAGTAATGAGTTTCAGAGAAGTGTTTTTAGATCCAGTTCTGCCATATGACTTATCTATGCAGGAGCTTTCAGTTGATCTTTTCTAGGTTTACAAGGCTACTATTTTCTTACAGTTGCTAAAAACCTTAAAATATAAAAATAAAGATATTTCCATAATTGTAAGAATTGGCATCCTCCCAATAAACAAACAAACAAAGAAGGAAAAAGAACAAACATGTAGAATTACCTTTCATCTAGTAAAGGAATGCCAACACTAGTTGGTGAAGTTTCTTTTCTAGGAGAAGAAACTTGTCTTCTTACCTTAAAGACACAAAATGATTATCACTTTAAATTGCTTCCAAACTCAAATGACACTGGATTAACAGAAAACACGATGGAAAATTTATTTATCTTCCGTATTGTAAAATAAGTTGAGGCAGTTTACAAACATATATGTTGGGCGGTCTTCAAAAAGTTCACAGAAAATGCGTACTACTAAAAAACTATGGATGGATTTTAAAATGTTTTTGCACCAAAATAACATATTGTTGTAATCATAAATTCCATGGTTTACATTTTTAAAACATCTTTAATCTCACTTAGAAACCTTTGTGGCCGTCTTAAATTATAAACTGATAAATTTTTACTTAAGTTCCATTTTCCATGAACTTTCTGAAGTCCCCTTGAATAATGTACAACATATTTTTCCCCCTATGAATCAGATCAAGGAAAAAGTAAAACGAAGATAGAAAGTGTGAAGAAATAAGGTATTTCTGGTAACTTCAGTCACTATTTCCAGTACTGGTAATACAAGGAATTTCTTAAATTTAGCTATTAATCAGAATTGCTGCTCTGATCACCAAGTACTTCATGCAATCAGAAGCTGGGAAAATGAATGAATGTGTATGTTAAATTCTTTTGATATTCATAATGATGCAAGGTATTCATTATATTTTTAAATCAATGTCTTTGTATTTTGTTACAGATTATTTGCTGAAAAATGCAGCTGTATTAGGAGAGGGGGAAAAAACAAAGCTATAATTTCTTATCAATTAACCCGTATTTTCAAGATTTATATAGTTCAATTACGTAGTTAAGCTGCTTCAACACAAGTTATTGCCTTTCACTCCCACCTTGTGGCTTACACTGGTATTACATTTATTCTGACATTTAAAAATCAGCATTAAAGAACATGTTGTAGTAATTTATTTCATGGTTTAGATTTCCTTTAAGAAGGCACACATTCTGAGACTTGAAGAAATCATAGTCTATAATCACAAATCATAGTTCACCAAAACTATTTAGTTCTTAAGTTAAAATTCAAGTCAGTGGACATTTATCTTTAGTGACTTTTAGATTTTATTTAAATAAAGTAATTGTAGTTAATATTAAAATAGAAGATTTACTTCACTATTTATCATCTAAGTATCTCTTTAATTTTACTTTTCAAAAGATTTCAGTTTCTTAGGAGTCTTTTTTTTTTTTTTTTTTGAGAGGTTTTTGCTATAGGGCGTGTGCGCTCACCAGAAAGACAAAGAGAGACAGAAAGTGAGAAATCATCCCCAAGAGGGGATGGTTACATCGCAATCCCTTCTCCTCCATTCTCCTCTCAGGATTTGGGCACGCATGCACACGCGCCCGGCATGAGTTTAAGCCACCAGGTTCGGGACTCGAACCGCGGTTGACTACATGGGAGCCCAGCGACATAGCCATTATGCTAACTGCTGGTCCCAGGAGTCTTATTTTTTTCTTTAAGACAAAGGTTTGAGTTTACTTTTTCTTAATATTGATGTCTTTTCCAATTAATTAATTAATGCATATAGGGCCCCTGTGCTTGTCAGAAATCACACTCCAGGGGCATGGACACACCATAATCCCTCCTCTGGAGTTTGGGCAGATATGCTCATGGCACCTGTTGTGATTTTCAAACTGCTGAGTTAGGGATCTGAACTGCACAGTCAGCCACGTGAATGCAGGATTTTAACATCTACACCACCTCTCCAATTTATTTTAATTTACTGCTCTAATTTCCCAGCTTTTCTTCCTTCCTTTCTTTCCTTCCTTTCCTTTCCTTTCCTCTTCCTCTCTCTCTCTCTTTCTTTCTCTCTCTCTCTCCTCCCCCCACCCTCTTTCTAAGAGAGGATTTTTGCTACAGGGCTTGTGTGCTTGCCAGAGAGAAAAAAAGCCAGAAATCACCCCCAGGGGGATGGCCCACCTCAATCCCTTCTCCTCCATTCTCCTTTCGAGATTTTGGGCACACATGCACACGCACCGGGTGTGAATTTTAAATCACTAGGTCCAGGACTCGGAACAGTGGTGGACTACATAGGAGTCCAGTGATGTAACCATTATGCCATTTGCTGATCCCTCGTTTCTCAGCTTTTCTAAATAAATACTAGAGAAAATATAGAGTATTATTTTATAATAGCTCTGAATTAAGTAAAATAAAATCTTGACAACCCAAACTATCTTATATATTATATGGTCATGCTGAAGTAAAACAAAGATCATTCTGCTGCTGTATCCTCTATACTTGATCTGACATTCAGATCATGTCTCTTCTGGATTAAAACTGCTTTATTAAGCTTTACAAAAGCAGTCACATCAGAAGACATATTCACATTAACAGTTGTTTTTTTAAACATCAGATTTTTCTTTTAGAATTTCTTAAAATTTAACTTTATTTATTAATTAATTTATTTTAATTTAACCAGAGAGGGACAGAGTAAGAGAGAGAAAGAGAGAGAGAGAGAGGGAAAGTGAGAAAGCAAGCCACCAAGTCTGGGACTCGAACTGCAGTCAGGGGGAGTCCAGTGCCCTTAAACACCATGCCACCTGTTGACTCCAACAATTTGTTTTTAAAAGTGGTAGGCTAGTTTTTTTTTTCTTCTAGTGTTATATACAGTTAGAACACTGAATGGATTTTAGTGTGTTGGCCAACCTCTTAGGACAGTATAAGAATGAAAACTTTAGGGACCAGCGGTTAGCGTAATGGCTATGTCGCTGGACTCCCACGGAGTTGACCGCGGTTCGCGTCCCGGACCTGGTGGCTTAAAACTCACGCCAGGCGCGTGTGCGTGCGTGCCCAAGATCCCGAGAGGTGAATGGAGGAGAGGGGATTGCAGTGTGGCCATCCCCTCTGGGGGGTGATTTCTCGCTTTCTGTCTCTCTGTCTCTCTGTCTGTCTGGCGAGCACACGCACCCTATGGCAAAAACCTCTCCACAAAAAAAACAAACAAAACAAAATAAAACAAAAAAAGAATGAAAACTTTATTTTTAAAGAATTATTTTTTTAGTTGTATTTATTCATTCATTTATTTTTAATTTGACAGAGAGAGAGAGAGAAAGTGAGAAAGCAAGCCACTAAGTCCGAAACTCAAACTGTGGTCAGTCTTGTGTGAGTGTCCAGTGCCTTAGCCACTACGCCACCTGCTGGTCCCCAAGAATGAAAACTTTAAAAAAATGTGATTCCAAATGAAAAATGTTCATTGCTTTTCTATATTTTTCAAATTATTCATAAAAGGAATACATAATACTTTCACTTTTAGTATAGTACCCTACTATATATATTGTATTTAATGCAGCAAAATTGAGTTATAAAACTTTACTAAAATCATTAATATAATGTTTGCTTTTTTATACATAAAGGATCCAAACTTCAAATGGCTAATATTAAATAAAGCTGGTATGTTTTCAAAGATACATACATGGGACCAGCAGAGGGCGTAGCAGTTATTTTGCTGGACTCCCACATGACTGAACCTCAATTTGAGTCCTGAACCAGGCAGCTTGAAACTCATGCTGGGTAGCTGTGTGTGTGCACGCCCAAGATCCTGGGAGGGGAATGGAGGAGAAGGGATTGCAGCATGGCCATTCTCCCTGGGGGTGTGGTATCTCACTTTCTCTCTCACTGTCTCTTGACAAGTGCACATGCTCTAAGGCAAAGACCTTTCGGAAAAAGGGAAATATAAATGAATTATCACTTTATTCCAATGTTCATATCAAAGATTCCCTCTAAACTTCAGTTGGAATCCTTGCATGCAAATAGAATACTTAATTTTAGGGGGCTCGAGCAGCTGAGTGTAGTCAATGTTCAACTGGGTTTCTGGATGAGGCTCAACAGAATTGCTATTCTTTTTTTTTTTTTCTTTTTTTGGAGAGGTTTTCGCTATAGGGCGCGTGCGCTTGCCAGACAGACAGAGAGAGACAGAGAGACAGAAAACGAGAAATCACCCCCCAGGGAGGATGGCCACACTGCAATCCCTTCTCCTCCATTCTCCTCTCGGGATCTTGGGCACGCACGCACACGCGCCGGCGTGAGTTTAAGCCTCCGGGTCCAGGACTCGAACCATGGTCGACTACGTGGGAGTCCAGCGGCATAGCCATTATGCTAACTGCTGGTCCCAGAATTGCTATTCTAAAGCAGAAAGCAACTATGCTCTTACTTGGAAAAATGTAAACCAAGAGATAAGCCAAGGTGAGATGTTATGGATTGGAAAAGAGTATAAATCGTGGAACAGTTACAAATATTAGCTGATAAACTTCTCCACAGAACAAGGAAAAATGAGCAGTGAAAAAAGAAACTGAAAATAAGGATTCACTTATGACTTAGATTTTTCAAACCTAAGAATGAAATGAAGTTAAGTATTTCCTTACCAGCTTTAGGTATATTGAGACAGAAAATGCTATGATAAAGCCAAGCCAAGGTTATGGCTGAATTAGGGAGAAAGTAAAAACAAGGCAGGGACAGGGAGAAGACAGAGGCAAAAAAGGTTGAAAACAGAACCAGACAAAAACATTACAGAAAGAAATTTAGTAAGGGTAAACAGAAAAGTAAAGTAAAATAAGAGTTTGAGGATAAAGGTAAGTAAAAAAACACAAGGAAAATCTAATTTCTAACAATTAATGATCTTGTGAAATCTATGGTTTTCTCAGTCATTAGCATTCCTGAAAATCTAGGAAAGCAGGAGGAACACAAATCCTAGGAGCCTTGTCTATTCTGCATGACACAGTGTATGAGCAAACCTACTGCCAGTGTGGGAACAACTCCAGGGCAAAATGGGATCTATCCCAGAGTTTTGAAGAAAGTGGCAAGAAAATAAACAATACAAAAATAAACACCCCAATTACTTCCAAGTTCTTTGCAAGGTTCTGATTTATGCAACCTCCCCATCTCTGCCGATTCAGTGCTACAATAAAATATATTTTTAATAAAAAGTAAAATCCTTTACCAGTATTGCTACAATTACTATAATTTCAATCCTGTGGAAGTTAATTTAAAGCAAAGTGGGGTTAATACTTTCCTACTGTCTTTTGAGTCT